CGAGAGTTAAAGGCGGTGGCCGTTAGCTTTAAAAATCCATAGATTAGCCGCACCGTTATATAAGCCGCAGCGTCGAAAAATGGGAAAAAAGGCGCGGCTTATAGTCCGAAAAGTACGGGTATGTTTTAATATACTCTATTGACTTCACATATTTTTCACATAGGCCTATCTGACTCTGAAAGCCAGCTACGAACCTCACCGCACGGCACTGGTCTACATGAATAGAATTCTTCATCAACAGCGGGAGCCAAAACAGCATAGCATCCTGGTAACAGTAGTGAGGGCATTACAAAAAAGAAGTACAGCCGATCCTATTGGCTCTTTGCCAACGCAAGGGACGAATCATAAAACGGCTTATATGTGAGCTTTAGTGCTGGTTGGATGTCAACACATGCACGAGGCTGCCAGCTCACCGATTCATTTTTCGATTTGTTAGGTAATGCGTAGGATATTCAAGTCAAGCGTAGCGGCGTAATTAGGGCCTGGAAATCGTATCTGCTACGCCAAAATCGTGTATGTTGGCAGCTCTGCATATATCCAGTCCATATGGGGCTAAGCCTCATCAAAGAGAAGTAGGCGTGTGAGCTCAAACTGTCAGAATGTTTTCAAGATGACCAAGCCAAACATAATACGGTATATCACTAATATGAAAAGACTATGCTCTAATTTTCTTATTTGACACACTACCCAATTGAAGGCCACATTATTTAGTTTGAGAAACTAATGTGAAATCAGAACTTTGTATAACATTAATAACTGTTATTGAAGCGTGAAGTTACTGCATAATGTCTGATAATAGCGTGAGAAGTACCTCAATGAGGTCCTTGACTAGAGGCGTCCAGCGGGACAGCTGGTAGGTCTGCTCACTGACTCGCTCCTTACGATCCGGCTTCTTGGCTTTCTTCACGATCACCTTTGAAGAAACAGAGCTGATCACGCTGGTGGAGGTTATTACTTTTGGGGCTAAATGCCACAGACAGAATACAGAACACCAGCAGCAAGGACAAGAGACTCTGATAATGACTGGTCTTCAAATATAATAAACAAGTTAACAATATTTAATGTGCTTTTGTGTAGGGGTCTCACATTGTTATTCACACAATTCCATTTAAAAAATGTTGAGAATAAGACAAGCTTAAGACTTTCTATATTATGCAATATAAGAAGTATGAGGGATTTGATGTCATGTCAAGACAGGATCCGGCTTGAGACAAAGCTTCATTCGGTTCATGATGAGACACTCGGCTCACCTCAGAGACAATGGGAATGCCCATGTGGGCCATGTTGGAAATGATGTCACTGTCCTCTGGTGGGATGTTAGCATGCTGAAGGAGTTTACACAGGTTCTCCTCAGTCACACCTGGCACACATACAGACATTAACACATGCAGCATGCACCAAGGAGGAAAACTAAAAGTGAACAACGGTGGAGAAACAAAAGAAATGTGATTGCATGCACATTTAGCACTCTTACTGTTCCTTTCTGCTTTTGTCATTATAAAGGAGAAATAAACCTCGGAAGGATTCGATGTGAAAAACATTAGGAACAGTGAATATCTGACCATTCTTAAGGAAAATGTAGAGCAGGATAATGCGGATTTTGTCCGACACAGTGACGTTGGCATCCAGTAGAATGGGTACAATGAGCCTCATGGGATCCTTGATCTTCTCCCCCTCTGCATCTATGCCCATTGCCAAATCCTTGAAGATAGTCAGAAGAAAGCAAAGCTTAACTTAAGTTCCGTTTGAACAATACTGATAAGAAGTTCTGTACAGAAATGTAGCTTAGAAGTTAGAGAAGAGCCTGTATGTGGAGTCATCAGGGAGCGGTCTCATCCTATCAACACACGAGGAGAACACTCAGCACGAGTCTAAATCAAATTCATCTGCATGCTTTAAAAAGGTGCAATGTGTGCTGTCTGGCCACATGCTCCAAAGAAAAAGGGGGCAGCATGTCATGTTTCCAATGGGGTTTGACTTATATCGGCCAAGAGGCGACTATAAAAAGATGAGCTATAAGGATACCCAGTACGAACACTGTGTAAGCCATCATTTAAATCATTAGGGTCTAACAGCTGTAAAACTCATATGACTGATCCGAGAGCGGAAGTGACTCTGCAGAATGGAGACTCTTTCTCTCTCTCTAGAGGCAGCCATTTCTGTGTCCCACCTCCAACACCAATCCAGTTCTCTGTATACATCCATGGGGCAGGCCGGCACTGTGGAGCCTTCCTTTGTACGCGAAGAAGCAGCGGCTCTACTCCGAGCCCCTCCCAGAGTACTGAGCTGCTCACCTCAACACTAAGGGAGATGCCGGCCATTCGCAATCTCATTCTTTTGGTCATGACTAAATGTTAAAAGTATAACAATGAATAATACATTTTACTTTTGCCGCTTTTAATCCTGCACACTGCTCCTCTGAGTAGTTAATAATGCTATTCAGACATCCAAGATGGTGAATACAACTGTCTGTCAGGGATAAGTTCCATTAGGTGTGATGATCATGAAACTGGTGAAATTCATGTAGACACCCCCTCAAGTCTGAACAACAACTATCAGAAACAGCTGTGAGCAGTAAATACAACACATCTTTTTGGAGTCCATTTTGTTTCCAAATTATAATATAGCGCATGAACACGCCACATTTGGAAGAATGACTCTCCAAATCATGAAATGATCCAATCAGCATGTTAGTGCATCACGGTCTGCACCCTCCGAGTGCCTTCTACTTTCAGACTGTATCTGTTCATATCTTTTCCTATTGTTCAGAGCTGAATTCCTTAATTTCCACACTATTACTCTGGAAACAGATCTAATTCAAAACGTCTGTCTGATTTACCTGCTCTATACGACAGAGTTTGTCCACAGTGCCCTGGTAGCGGTTCATACAGTCTTCAGCCAAATGCAGATGGGTTGAATACTGAATAGGCCAGAGAAGAGAGCTGATGTTAGTGACACAGAGCAAACTCAGCACAAACACAAAAAACAGGCTTTGTTTCAGGGTTCATAAATACACTTTTGGAAATCTGCACAATAAAGTTGACCGCTTCCAGGCCTTGGATATACAACATGTGTGTTTAATACACATATATATAGTGTATACATAACATGATGTAACTGTCTATGCTCACAAACACGCCAGCACTTACCTTGCTGAGCTCTTTCTGATACTGAGGCATCTTCTTCAGCATCTGAGCCAGTTCCTTCATGGTGGTCTGAAAGACGCAGAGGAGTGATACACTTTAGTGATGGTGTGAGTGATATCCAGGTCTAAGTTTGTTGGCCTCAATCTGAAATACTCTGTTCTAGTGCCACCTACAGGGTCTGATACTTGGGCTCTTCAGTCGTGTGTGTGTGTGTGTGTGTGTGTGTGTGTGTGTGTGTGTGTGTGTGTGTGTGTGTGTGTGTGTGTGTGTGTGTGTGTGTGTGTGTGTGTGTGTGTGTGTGTGTGTGTGTGTGTGTGTGTGTGTGTGTGTGTGCGCTCGCTCTACCTTTTCTCCAGTATTCATCTTCTTGCTGGCAGAGAATTCTTTCAGAGAGCGAGTCACAGCCCTGTGCAGACACACAAGACAGAAATGGACGAGGAAAATAAGGGAGGAGGCTTTGTGATGGAGCTGTGGGGGTGTGCATGTGTGAGGAGAAAGTCAAAAGCCCTCACGTTGACACTTCTGCAATGTGTTTGTGTCTCAGAGTCAGCCACAGGTCATCATCCTCATCTAGCAAGACCTCCTTTGTCCTCGTCTCTCCCATCCCACTGGTCTCAAAACTGATAGAGAGGGCGAGAGAGGTTTACAACAGTATGAGTGCATCTGAAAGAGAGAATCTAATAACTGAAGAACATGTTCTCTTTATGTTGTGCAGTGCACTATTGTTTTGTTGTTTTTGGTACTCAGATCTTGTACTTAAGTAAAAGTACCAGAGTTACAAGTAAGATTCCTGCATTCAAAATGTTACTCCATTAAAGTACAAAGGTTTTAGCATCAACATATACTTAAAGTACCAAAAGTAAAAGTAGTCATTGTGCAGATCCATTCGATCCGGGTCCATTTCAGAATAATATATGCGATATGTTTTATAATTATTGATCATTAAAGTGTTCTCAAAGCTGGTAAAGGTGTGGCTAGTTTGAATGACTTTGTATACTGCTTGATCATTAATCTGTATTAGCAAAGTAACTTAAGGTACTACATAAATTTAGTGGAATAAAAGTACACTATTTACCTCTGAATTGAATTGAAGTACAAAGTAACATATCATGGAAATACTCAAGTAAAGTGCAAGTACCTCAACATTTTACTTAAGCACAGTACTAAAAGTAATGTGCTTAGTTACTTCCCACCACTGAGTATACCCAAACTAAGTGACGTTCACGACAATGAATACATTCAAATACAAATATGGACAATGCTATGACTCCCAGCTGTTCCTGTGTAGAGTCTGACCTGTACACGTCGTTCTCGATGCCCAGCAGGTCGTAGGACATGGCCTGAAGGGTGAGCTCATGCAGGATGGGCGTCACGGGATCAAAGCTACGGTCCAAAATTAGCAGCTGAGTACGAGACTTGTCTGGACCCTGAGGGCATCAGAGCAGAAAAGAAACACTACACACACTGTGGAGGTAAAGTATGCCACACATTGTACTTGACTCACATTGCCACATTTCCCATGTTCTCATTTCCCATGTTAGCAGCCCATTGAATGGCTGTTTAACCTCCTGGGACCCAGCCCATTGAAAATGTCCACTGTAGTGGACATTTTGTTAACATGCATCTCCTTTGACTCTTTTGAGCTACTCTA